TTGGACCGAGTCCAGCCTGCCCCTCGCCCCGTGCCTCGGTCCACTTTAATGAAACAAGTTCCCGTAACAAGAAAATCTGGTCCGAGGTCCCACCCGGGGCCAAAAGTCTCCTCTTCATTAGGAAAGACAATGTTCTGTTGTCTCAGGGGAAATCTTCCCGGATTTCAATTCTGCGAGATGCTCCGCCCTGGGCCGATCCACACACCTGCGTAACGTCTTATCAATTTTCCCGCACACCTGCGTCATGTCTTATAGATGCTCCTGCACACCTGCTGTTGTACCTAGAACCGTACCTATCTAATGCCCGAATTGGTTGGGGTTAAATCAGGCACGGTTCTGGATAGTCACTGTGTATCAAAGAATGTAGAGTTGCCCCATGCATGGTTCTCAATACGCGTGGAGTATCCAGAACCGTACATGAACATCGTTTTGGATAAAGCACGGTTCTGGATACAACCATTCCTACCCCCGTCTCGGTTGCCAAGACACCTTCAAGATGTAGAGACAGTTCTTGGCGCGTTGTTGCTAAGCTGTGGCGATTCGTCAGCTTCCTAGCGTGGAGCGTTTGACGAACGTTGCGTGGTGGCCGAGGATGGCTCCGGTCGATTCTGGGACCGAGTATTGATGGTGAAAACTAACTGACGTGATGATGATGCATTGCTGTGAGGTAACACAAGCGGACAGTCGTTATCATGCACTCGTGTGGCTGTGAAGTACATATAACACAATCGGACACAAGCTTTTATCTATCTCCTAACAGGCGCTGTACGTAAGGGAAGACTGTCACCGTTCAGGGGGACCTATTTTATGACCTGCCTTTGACTGCCTCCTCCACTTCCAGCTATGGAGAAAAGCGCGTCGCAATCAGGGAAATGTCGCAAGTTTTTTGTTTTTATTTTCCATTATGTAATCACAAGACGTGATGACGGCACACTCAAGTTTTTTTCAACTTATATCAATGCCGTCACCAAGACGGGACAATACAATGCCCATTTTCACATGAGCGAAGTGAGGAAAGTTTTCCCAAGGGCACAAGATCGGTGGCATGTCAGGAGTCGAACCCGGGACCTCTTGGTTCTGGGGCCTGGGGCCTATGCCGCTACGCTACACGACCCCATCACAAGTTTTCCTCCCAACATGTACTTGGGGATCAAATATATTAAGACATGTGTTTTTGTACTATAACATTCTCTGTTTACATTGTTACCGATACACCAGCGAGACCAAGAGTAGCCCTTATCCGGCTGCGAACTTCATTAAACTGCGGGAACTTCGGAGAAAGTGCGTATGACCGATTGCCGAGGGCGGGTCGACCTCGCGGAATAGCCGCTGCAGCCCAGCCAACAGTTGGTCTCGGATTCGGGCCGTCCATCATGGGATGCAGGCGGGATTCCAGCCGTCCTGATAGCGGGGCCGGAATCGAGCTCACGTGCGCGCGGCCGCGTGCGCCGGCTTTACCCCTAATCCCCGATATCAGTGGACGTCGTATCTCCGTAGTGGCCCGGCTAGCCTGATACGGCGTTACGTACATCGCGCCACGACTCGCTGTGGCAGGCTTCTCATCCGGTAAACCAGCGCACCCCATTACAATTCCTCAAGACAAATTGGCGGGCGGAAAAGATACCAGTATATGAAGTGGTTTCCGCGACCCATAACACAATTAAAGCTCGGAGAGTCACTCCATGATCCGAACTCATAAAAGTGCGGGGTCTCTTGAAAATGGCGCGTAACCAGGGTAGATGGCAGGGCCACGCAGCGTCGCCTGGGCCCGGGTGACCCTTTGCGTTAATCATACGCACGATGGATTGGCAATTAAAGCAGACGTATTGGCCGAATATGCAAACTTTGCCGGGACACATCGGAATATGCAGATCGATTCTCATAAACCAGTAGTGGCAAGAGTTCACAAACTTAATGATACACGGCTGATGGGAATGTGAAAGAAACTCAGGAAAAGGGCGAGGGGCTAATGTCAAAACATCCAATTGCGTGACATTCTTGGTATATACTGTATACTGTATACTGTGGACTGAAAGGGCTCACATTTCAAAGTCCCTTGAAATATGCAGTATCTAGGAGAAGTCATCAATGTTCATGCATGTTTATCATCTCATTCTTCTGATGCTGGTGCTCCGGAGGAGGCGCTTATATACCACTGAGCGACTAAAAATATCACTAGTAGTTCAACCGACAAATTGACATCCCAAAATTATCCAAAACCAATATTTTGTTGTCTTTCATATCATACTTTAACACCATGGACACACATATTTAATCTACAACATATGTCATACAAAACCAACTTCGCTTCGGTTTCCATCCAGTAGGGGGCGGGTAGTCAGGGACAACTTCATGTAGCACATGTACGAGTAAGGCACGGGGGGGACGCATCTCTGGACTAAATGCTGCGCCATTAGGTGGGGCCTGTTTGTATCTGCTGCGCTGGGTGCCGTGAAGCGCGTTTGAGGAATCGTCTGCCATGGAACTTCCTGCTGAGTAGTCAATATTCCCAAGGTCGCAGCCGCCGTCAGAGGGGAAACTAATTGTGTGGAAATATTTCTGGACCACCAATTTGACCCCGATATGCATGACGTACGACGGGCTGTTCTGACGGAGAGATGCTGCTGATGTTCTGTCATGTAGAGTGTTTTTGTGATGGCTGATATTTTTTTCCGAGTCAGACAGATAACCGTTTTCGTTTCTGTCAAGTATGGCCAGTTTGGTGGGAATTTCTGATCAACGACAAACTTTTTTTTCTAGTCAGGTGACGGCTCTTTGTGATTGCCCAGTTTTTGTCCCCTGGCGGCAGCAATAGAAGTTTCTGTCAGGTGGCCAGTTTTAGCGGGAAGTCGTAATGGCCGACTTTTCCCCGTCAGCTCGTCGCTTGCGCGGGAAAGTTTCTGCGTCAGGCCACTGCGACTAGGCGGTCAGTTTTAGCAGGGATTTGTGACCATTCCCGACGTACGATGGGCAGTTTGGGCGGGAACATTTCTGCCGGGCTACCAATCCCAGCTAGAAAATTTCTGTCAGACGGTCAGTTTGTAGCGGTTACTTCAGATCGATGGGCAAGTTTGTCTGACAGGTGGCCAGTTTTAGCGGGAAGGTGCTAGTTCGGTTTGCGTGCGTGTTGAGCCGCTAGTTGTTCCCCACACAGGACAGGAGCACGCTTTGACGCCAGTCTCACATCAAACACTCCAGGCAGAACACCTCAAGATGTGCAAATCCCCTCGCGATGCACGACCTACTTTCCGCGCGAAGCTGCTTTTGTCGTCTGAGAGTTGAGTATATCCAACCGTACAACGTCACTGTGAACTTATTGCCTCATACACGTACCAAATGTAGGTCAGCAGCAAGGTCGGTTCACCGTTATGATAGACGTCAAACAAGGTTGTTGATTACGTTATTTTCGCGTTTATAGAGGCCAGTGCAAGACCACATATGCAAAGGTAGTTGCAACAATGTTAATCCAACTGCTGCAAATATTCAAAATCATCATCAAACACACTAACGTTACTGCATT